ATCATCTGGAGGATAGTGCTATGACTTTCCCATCTGCCTGGCAGGAAGTTTTGATGGCCAGGGCCTGTCCTCAACCATCTCTCCACAGGACTGCACCTTTGTCACGTATGCTCCTCTGCTCTATCAGCTCTTCTCTCCAAAAACATCGACAGCTGTGATTCCTAACCTGAAGTATTACAGCAGGACTATAGTGCATTTGCTAAGGGGGACAGATTGAGTAGCTCAAATAATTTGGGCAACACGCACAGTATTGTAACACCTGAACAAGACGTGTTGCCATAAATAGTGCATGAAAGCTATGGCAAGCAGAGAAGCTATGAGATATGAAGTAACATTATACATAGCTTAAATGTTATATTGCAGCCATATGCTACAATCATTTAAGTTCATTTTTTTCCTCATTAATGTACACACAGCACCCCATATTGACAGAAAAACACAGAATTTTTGACATTTTTGCAGATTTATTAAAAAAGAAAAACTGAAATATCACATGGTCATAAGTATTCAGACCCTTTGCTGTGACACTCATATATTTAACTTAGGTGCTGTCCATTTCTTCTGATCATCCCTGAGATGGTTCTACACCTTCATTTGAGTCCAGCTGTGTTTGATTGGATGTGATTAGGAAAGCCACACACCTGTCTATATAAGACCCTACAGCTCACAGTGCATGTCAGAGCAAATGAGAATCATGAGGTCAAAGGAACTGCCTGAAGAGCTCAGAGACAGAATTGTGGCAAGGCACAGATCTGGCCAAGGTTACAAAAAAATTTCTGCTGCACTTAAGGTTCCTAAGAGCACAGTGGCCTCCATAATCCTTAAATGGAAGACGTTTGGGACGACCAGAACCCTTCCTAGAGCTGGCCGTCCGGCCAAACTGAGCTATCGGGGGAGAAGAGCCTTGATGAGAGAGGTACAGAAGAACCCAAAGATGACTGTGGCTGAGCTCCAGAGATGCAGTCGGGAGATGGGAGCAAGTTGTAGAAAGTCAACCATCACTGCAGCCCTCCACCAGTTGGGGCTTTATGGCAGAGTGGCCCGACGGGAGCCTCTCCTCAGTGCAAGACACATGAAAGTCCGCATGGAGTTTGCTAAAAAACACCTGAAGGACTCCAAGATGGTGAGAAATAAGATTCTCTGGTCTGATGAGACCAAGATAGAACTTTTTGGCCTTAATTCTAAGCGGTATGTGTGGAGAAAACCAGGCACTGCTCATCACCTGTCCAATACAGTCCCAACAGTGAAGCATGGTGGTGGCAGTATCATGCTATGGGGGTGTTTTTCAGCTACAGGGACAGGACGACTGTTTACAATCCAGGGAAGGATGAATGCGGCCAAGTACAGGGATATCCTGGACCAAAACCTTCTCCAGAGTGCTCAGGACCTCAGACTGGGCCAAAGGTTCACCTTCCAACAAGACAATGACCCTAAGCACACAGCTAAAATAATGAAGGAGTGGCTTCACAACAACTCCGTGACTGTTCTTGAATGGCCCAGCCAGAGCCCTGACTTAAACCCAATTGAGCATCTCTGGAGAGACCTGAAAATGGCTGTCCACCAACATTTACCATCCAACCTGACAGAACTGGAGAGGATCTGCAAGAAGGAATGGCAGAGGATCCCCAAATGCAGGTGTGAAAAACTTGTTGCATCATTCCCAAAAAGACTCATGGCTGTATTAGCTCAAAAGGGTGCTTCTACTAAATACTGAGCAAAGGGTCTGAATACTTATGACCATGTGATATTTCAGTTTTTCTTTTTTAATAAATCTGCAAAAATGTCAAAAATTCTGTGTTTTTCTGTCAATATGGGGTGCTGTGTGTACATTAATGAGGAAAAAAATGAACTTAAATGATTTTAGCATATGGCTGCAATATAACAAAGAGTGAAAAATTTAAGGGGGTCTGAATTCTTTCCGTACCCACTGTATATACTGTATATATACATGTATATGGCTATATCTCTAAAAGTACCTGAATACTGGTTGAAAATGTTCAAGTAACAGATAATGATGTTAAGAGCTATGTCAACTACCCACACTTTAAAATGTAGTAGCAAACTGGAGCTAAAGCATCAGCATACCTATTACTGACAGGTGGAGGGACAGCTACTAATTACAGGAAAGCAGTGGTGTGACTGTGGTATCTGAAGAAGAAGACACTCATGTACAGAGACAGTGACTTGATCAAAGTGATTCAATAAAGAGCAGATCTTTTTTTCTGTATCTACATGCCCAAGTGCCTCTACAGTGTGTATGCTGAGATAATACAACCCTTGTTATGCTTTAACACAGATTTTTAAGAGTCATGGAATACTGATTCATTGAAACAATTTCTAAAACAGGCTAAAATTGTTAGACTTTTTTCCATGTATGTTAACATTTAACAAAGTTTATCAATGCACCTCACACATCAATAAAACTCCATTTATCAAAGCTGACACTTATAGGCAATGTAAGTTAAAATGGCTTTATTTTACCATGTCAAACTACTGTAGGTAAGGAATCCATAATACACACAGTGTACATAATGTAAAAAAAAAAAAAAAAGTCCTGCACATGGCCTGTGGTCTTATCTGCTGTGTGTTGTGGCACCCTGTGTATTCAGACTTCTCTCCATTTTTCCACCAGAGCTCCATTTTGATAGTTAGAAAGGAGACATGCAACTGTGAATAACTGACTGATGTTTGCAGAGATGGAAAGGGGAATTTCAGTGTCAAACAATATATTTCCTTTGATTCGCCCAGTTAACCCCTCCACATGTGCTCTCAAATGAGCAGTGGATTGGGTCTCAAGAGCATCATGTGCTGACATTTGGTTGTACATAATGTAAAGGCGGGTGTTTGAAGGCCACGATATGCTAACCCCTGGACATAAGAATAAAGCTTAACCTCTCACACTAAGGTGGCATATTTGAAACACATTAAAGCTCCAAACACTGCTTGAGGTTCTATGACGGAGACATTCACTCGGTAATTGACTGCCATGAACCTGCGAACAGAGTTCCCTGCAGACCTCCCTCTTTCATGTTATTAATTCAGGATAAGACCCCAAAACCTCCCAAATAATAGCAACCTGCAGTTATTGTGGCAGCTACCTCCTTAACCCTCAGATGTTACCGTACTGAGAAACCTTTATAAACCAGTACACTCTACTCTCTGGCTCTTTGAGGAAGTGTTAAATTTAGTCTGAAATAACCAATGAAAGCTGTGTCACTGGACACTTAAGACCATATTTGTTTTGCACAGTATTTAGTTGACATAAGATGTTATTAAGGATAGGATAGTTAAAGAATAGTGTGTGTTATGTAACAAGTAAATAACTGGATATTTTAGATAAAATCCTTGTCTGATATAACTTTCTAAACACCGCCTCCCTTTGGACAGCCAGCCAGTTTTGTATGGCATAACACCCGAGCAACAAGCCCAATCAGAAAAGTGCTGCTTATGTTGTCACCGTGAGGTATCCGCAGCCAGGCAGCTTGTTAACACCGCTGGGTTGCCACTGTCTGTTTTAACTTTCTGAGACACTGTTGAGAAGGTTGGCATACTATTAATACTATGAATTGTATTCATCTATGTTGAATCCTGTATCAACCATGGCGGCCATGTCAGGGGACAAGAGAGGTATAATGCCTGGCTGCCCTAAGATCTGTCACTCATACAATCTTCATAGAGGGCAGAAACAAATGTTATAGCACCATGTGGTGCCATGCCTATCCGAGACTTAAAGTTGCAGAGAGACTTATAGGTGCAGTGGGACTTGTATGAGGACACATGCGATAGCATCTGACAATGTAGCTCAGTGCAGTCAATGATTACCTGGGTGTCTGCATACCCACTAAAATCAGGAGGAAGGTGAGAGGAATATGAGCCTGGACGTTTTCAGGGTCCATCCATGTGCACACAGATCACAGAAGGATGTAGAGGAAGTTGGCCCATGTTGCAATGACTCTGTTGACTGTTGTGTGGTGAATGTTAAAACTGCGACCAAGCTCACTGTGAGTACATCCCGTTGACAAGTATTTCAAAAAGAGGAAAATCTCATCTATGGGGGTCAATTTCTAGTAGGAAAAGAAAGACAAGTTGAACATTACACAGTAGTTTTTATATTCCTATGGGGGTTTGGTGACACTTACTGTAGATCCACTGGAAACCTCCTCACAGCCCCACTGGCACTTGTAGCCTGTACCATTCTAGATGCTACTGGTTGGATGAGAGTCCAGAAAGCCATCAGGTGATCTGGAAGTGAGTGGACGACAGTCACACACAGAGTCTCTAGTCTATAGTATGAAAAATACTGTAAAAACATAAATTATAACTTAAATAGTGCATAGTTTAAATTCAGTTCAATGCATTTAGAACACAAGTGTTCATTAAGTTACTTCACTTCTTCAGACAGAGGTGTGGGTGTATAATCGGGAACCGCTGTTCTGCAGCTAGTACACATTATGTAGGCTGCTTTTCTATGCTTGAAAACATGACGTGGTGCTCCACTACCTGGAAAAACACTACATTTTTATTCAGAGCACACATTTTCAGAATGAGCAGTCTTATTACAAAATTCCCCATTTTCCAGGCTGGTGGTGTCAGCCTGTCTCATTTTCATTGGTACGAATGAAAATGCAGACTTTGCCCTAAGGCGTCGATACATGTGTCATCTTGGTAACAGCTAATAAATCGTAATCTGTAATTAATATTTCCCTCACGAGCCGCCTGTCCCTGATTTCCGATGTGATGCTCTGCCTGTAATTACAGCCAATAAAATGTATAAAACTCTGTTCAGATCAGGGTCATCGCAGTTAATCACAGGCTGAGACCTGATAATGTTCTTCTGCTGATGCAGGGCAGATGAAGTGTCAGGAGACAGGCCCATTAAATGTTATCTTTATTAGATGCAGCAAGAGAAATATGCTTGGTAAGGACCAGGTTTGTAGGACCAGGGAAGGAAATAAGTGCATATCTCATTTAATTCTGTTCACTGCAATCTAACCTGAACCACAGACAAGACACACAGTTATTGCACAGATGACATTTTATTGCACGCCGTTCAGCTTCACATCCTTGTGTCCTCACATTGCATTTAACAATACATGACCCAAAACTGAGGTACCTATACCAAGCTGACATTGGCATCAAAAAACAAAACTAAATGATAACGCAACAAAATGAGGAAATAAGATATTTTACGTGCTGTTGCTGAGTCAATGTGGTCATTATTTGGTAAAAGGCACACCACAGCCTCTAAAACATGAAACTGAAAACATCAGGGGTTAGGAAGCCAGTTCCCCACAATAATCCTTTTCACTATAACTGCATTAATTTATATACTTAAATATGCATTTCTCTTGTAAACTCCATATTTACTAACTGAAGCACCACTATCATACCACTGCAATCAGCTCAAGGGGCAAGTCAAAATAAACTAAATGTACTGTGATGGTAAACAGCTCACTTGACTTTAAGTACAGCTAATGCTCTACCACAGTTCATAATTGGCACTTTTTTGTAATCACGTTGAGAACTTTTGGATTAACACACACAGGCCCTCGAGGTGATGTAGTTTGGACCCAGTTTGTGGCTTTAACATCTACATTTCAGTGGCAATTATACATACACATCACTAACAATATTTATTTGGGATTTTGTTTACTTTTCATATCATTGGTTTGCTGAGTTGAGATATGACACCACTGAACAAAAGGGAAAGAAAAAAAAATGTTTGAGTGAGGCCCAAAAATGCTCTTCAGGACCAAACACCACTCGCTCATTCTCTCTCTCACTCACACACACACACACACACACACACACACACACACACAGAATGTTGAGAAGCAGTAACAAAAGTTAAACACTGCAGAGACAAGCATTGATTTGCCTCAGACTCGTGTTGAACTGGCTGGATGAGCCTGAGGTACACCTCAACACAAGCTGATGGATCTGATAATGATGTTTTGGCCAAAGCTGCAGCAGGAACACTTCCAACGATAAGACATCTGCAAGGGATATTCTCATTCTGATGGTATGTAGCGGCTGTGCTGTTAAACATCAGTGTTTGTTCCATGTTGGTGCTGCAATAGGACCTCTGCAAGACCTCTCAATCACTATCAGCTCATCAGGGTTGTCACGCGCCTTATAATGGAACAGAAGGTCTTGGATGGCCCGCTCTTCAATCTACAAATATGGATAAAGACAAGAAAAGAATAGGACAAGGAATGGGGGATTTTGTGGGTATCTAAACCACTCTATTTGAGAAAACACCGACACCGAGAGCATGATGGTGATAGCATTTCACATAATTACAAACAGAAAGCCATAGGGGAAAATAAAGTGCCTTGTGAAGCTACTGACAGGAGCCTGGCATCAGTTGAAGAAGATCAGAGAAGGCTGTCAACACAAAACTGGAAGCACCCAATTTCTAAGCAACACTGTACAGAACATTAGATACAGTAACTGCTAGATGGAGACAGAAAGGAGATGTATGCTGTCGCCATACCACCCTGAAGGGCCACCAATGAAGCCATCATTCCAGTCACAGCAGGAGTGTTTTATGCAGGTGGGCAGGTGCATGGATAAGTGTGTACGCACTAAGGCACATAGACAAAGCCTGTTACCTGGATAAGCGCCAACGGCTTCTCGCGGCTGCGGATCAGTGCAGCTTCCTGCTGCTTCTCTTCCTCCACAATGGAGGCAAAAGTCATCAGGGAGGAGAGAGGAGGGCTGCCCACTGCTCCCAGCACCCAGGGTCTAAGGGGAGACATGGGTGACACAGTAAGAATGTGAAAGAGTGAGGATGGGTATCAGTGCCAATGCTGCGACAGTCAAAGCAACAAGAGTCTTAAGTGAGTGGATAAAAAATGAGTCACGTACTTGGTGTAACATTGGCAGCGTGTCCATCTAGCTTTAACAAACCTTTTGTAAATTATTGTGCAACAATTAAAATACAGGACAGACAGACAGGAGGAGGACTACAACTACAACAACATCCAATACATTTGATACAGAGGATCACAAAATACTGCTGACAGGAAACTTGGCTGGGACTAGTGGTTTAAATCATAAACTCAACTTTCCATATCACTTTCCCCCCAACAACTTCCATCCTGGTAAACTGATTCACATTGAGTGCACCAACCAGTTTAATGCAGATTAGATGAACAAAAGTGATCCAAGTGTTTTCAGGATCTTTCCTCCCTTTCAATTAAATCCTCAAGACAAAAAAACAGCTCTGGTCATAGACTGACATAAGCTATCTCATCTGGAGTCCCCCAGAAGCATGGTGAGGGTCATGTTCTTTGACTTCTCCAGTGCTTTCAACACAATCCAGCTGTCACTGCTTAGGGGGAAGTTGAAGGGGGCAGGTGGGGGCCAACACCTGTCTGCATGGATCACTAGCTACCTCACAAACAGACCTAAGTTTGCCAGGCTGTGAGACTCATTGCAGCTTCCTGCTGCTTCTCTTCCTCCACAATGGAGGCAAAAGTCATCAGGGAGGAGAGAGGAGGGCTGCCCACTGCTCCCAGCACCCAGGGTCTAAGGGGAGACATGGGTGACACAGTAAGAATGTGAAAGAGTGAGGATGGGTATCAGTTTTTACCGACTTTAGTAAGACTAAAGAGATCAGTGGCTTTTTAAAAATCAAATCCAAATTTATTTGTACAGCACTTTACAATCAGATTGAACAAAATGGTTCACAGTCAAAAATAAAAACAAACAAAAAATTTAAAACCAAAAGAGTAGCTAATAGTCACTACAGTTATGTGCAAACTGGTTCTTATAAATGGGGTTAAAAGAATTACTAATTGTTCACTATGATGCATGTAAACACCATATGCAAAGTGGTGGTTGAGGTTGTGCATGCTCATCTAGACAAATCACACCTCTAGAAACATTCATAGCAAACACAAGGGATGGGGGAAAAAAAGTGACCCTCAGTCAAATCACCAAGATTATGAAGGTATCTCTATTAAATCTGACTTGGGATCTGCAAATAGTGTCCCAGAAGGCAGAAATGAGAATATAAGGGCTGCTGCTTCCTGAGGCTTGATCTCATCCATCTCTTGGCTCATTCAAATGCTGAGAGTAACCTAAAACCTGCTTCCGGTCCTGCATGATCTCTTTTGATATGAGGGCTGCCCTCGTCACTTCTGGTTAACATCACCTGTTTCACCAGAGTGAGACACACAGCCGTTTAATGTTTAGAAGTCTGCTCTAAAGATTGCAGCATGACACGTGGGCAAACATGCAGCAGAGGAACTATGATACTAGATGAAAGAGATGCAGAAGTTCACTTTCAAGACGTGAAATGACTAAAACCAACAGATATGGCCTAACAATTATACTTTTATTATACTATATTATACTTTTTTCCACCCGACTTCTCACATGCAAGCCTAGATCAAAAACAGCCATAAATAGAAACAACAAAAAACTATTACTACAACTAGGAATGCATTTTTTTAATGGCCCCAAGTTGTTGTTGTGTGTGTGTGTGTGTGTTGTGGAGGCATAAATCTTACACATTGACATTGTCCCCAAAAGGAAGTCGAGCCCCTACAATGAGCAAATCACCAAAATTAACACAAGCCAATGTAAAGTCCCCAGCAAGGGACGAAAACAAATGTGCATGCATGTGTGTTTGTCCAGCTGTCTGGGGATGTTGTCAAGGTCAGGGTGACTCAGTGTCTGCAGGCAAATCATCAAATCATCCCAGCTGTACCGGGTCATTTAGTGCTGTTCACCTTAGGCTCACTGCATGTTCACAAACCCTTTGATTACTGTGCTGGCACATGTCAATCATTTTTTTAAACTGTGTGCAAAGGTACACGGCTCCTTGCTAGTACTGTAGTATCATCTGACCTCAGCGCTGCATCAAACAAAGGCATGCTCAACAATTGGCTCCATTCAACGCAGTAACTCAAACTGATCTGCAGACAAAAGAAAATACTTGAGGTGCATCAGTCTCCCAAGTTTTAATGAACTCTCCATATCTGGTTTAGAGGATCAACAGACCATCATCTTGCAATAAATACCACAAACACAACTCCTCTGCCTCCTCATCTTCCAGAACTTCATTTCCTTTACAGTGTTGGAGTGCAGTGGCAACGCCGCAAAGCCTCACGCTACAAGTATGAACACATTGATGGCTGCGGGCTGCGTGCTCAGTGACGCATGTAGACCCCTTTATGCAGGCCAAAGTCACACTTCTCTCACTCAATCCTCGATGAGTTGTCCACTCCAATTTATAACTCACTATTTTACAATTTCTTGCCATCCCTGGAGAATCAACACTCATTGTTACTTCCCTTTTCACTTCTTGATGTCAGAATCAGTGTGTCACATCTCTTTCTGTTTTTAAATCACCAAGTAAACCCCAAAACAATATGAAAGAATATTTGAGTTTTTTCGTGTTGATCTGATGAGAGAAGAATTGCAATGATTATAAAATAAGTGCTTTTAGTTAAGGCTTAGATTAGGTATCGTAATAAAGTGAGTTAAAATTTAAGTAATACCGCTGATGAATGGGGTATCTTGAATATAAAGTGTGTGTGGGCTGCTGAGTTTTTTTCAACACCAGTAATTTTATGATATCTCAACATTGCCACCAAGAGGAAAACAGCAGTACAGAACAGAAGTAGTCAACCTTGTTAAGGGAGTGACCTCCATTGTGTGTGTACTACATAGAAGTAGCTTTGCTATACTCACCCAGTGGGTCTCTCTGGCTCACTAGTTTCTCCACATTTGAACGTGACCTTCCTGGCAGCAGGTGTAGGAGTGACAGGTGATCCTTGGACACCTTGGCCCCTCTGTGTTCCTGTTTGTCCCACCCTAATCAGTCGGTTCTCCTCCTCCTCCAGCACCGCCCGAAATGAGTATGACGAGGGTGGAGACTGGACTGCTGTTGCCCTGCAGACAGAAACAAATGACAGGGAGAAAGGAAGAACCTGTATGATACATTAATTCACAATAAAGATAAAATAGTTGTGCACTCAAAGCTGCTAATGATCCTAGGAGATTCTAGTGACCTCCTGTGTCAGTAGTTTATTCAGCTGCTTCTTCCAATTTGTCCAGCACTGCATGCCTAAAAAGCTTAGGTTCTCGGAAAACTGAATTTTCACCCACATATGTTCATCTTAAATCATCATACTTGGGTTCACTCACCAGGCCTTCCCAGTGCTTTTTGATGTGGTGACTGTGGGGGCTGCTTTGGATGAAGTGGACTCTACACTGGTCTCCTTGTGGGCCATGGCCAACATCTTCCTCTGCTTCTGGGACAGTTTAGTGGGAGCAGAGGAGTGCTTGATGCTGGTGTTGGCACTGCAGGCAGAGAGGGAAATGTGTACAGCTAGTTCAAGTGAACAATAGGGCAACAACAAAAATATGACCATTCATATGCAGTAGTAGAGCTTTAAGTCTTCCTTCTACTTGTATGGTCTCCTGTCGACTAGGCTGCTTGCTGTAAAAGTTAGTTTGGAATTGAGGCAGTCCTCCCATACCCTCCTGGGCTTTTAGGAGTTGCTCCGAGGGTCTGCAGAGAGTTGGCTTCCATGTCCATGATGGTTCTCAGGTCCAAAACTGGGGGTGGACGAGCAGGACTGCAGATGGTAATAACACTCACACATAAAGTATTAAGTATTAGGACAGCTCAGTTTCCCCAGAGTTATTTATTAACTGGGGTGAAAGCATTTCCTCCTCCTCAAAATCAAGTAGGACCTTTCTCTTATTGAAAATCTGAGCACTTGTATCAAATTTAAAAATCAGCTTTTTAAAGAATGTAAAATAATTCATCTCTATCTTATGGACTTCATTCTCTCTTCCCTGCCTTCTGAAAAACAAAGATTGTAAGAAAGCGCAAGTGGTTTTGATATTCAGGATCCTACCATGGAAGGACTTTGGAGATGGCTTGTGGAGCAGAGTTGGGGGGAGTCGAGAAGCAGTTCAACAGGGAGGCTGGAGTGCTGGGTGGAGTCTTCAGCCTCTGACTGACAACCTTCTCATCCTGCATATAATAAATAAAATTTTACCCATTATCTAATATGTATATTTTTGAATACATACATCATTCTGTGCTAGGTAGCTACTTCATTTAATATAATAAACACCCAATGGCAAATAATCAAAAGTGTTTGTTTCACGGTTCTAAACCTAAGCACAGACTACATATCAAAGATATCAAATAATTCAAAGTAGTGTGCAATAAAAGTGGTGCATATAACTGTTGTGTTGGACTCTTGTTAACCTCAACTCTGTCATGGAAGACAGGAGACTGCATGTCTCGGGGACTGGCCACCCCCATATAGCTGCCTTCAGAGTCCGATGTGAGTAGCTCCTGCAGGGACTCTGTCGAGTTAGCCCTGCCTGACTTCATCACACAAGGAGAGACGGCTGACAAGGAAAAAAAAAAAAACCAAACAAACAAAAGTGCATTAACCAAATAACACCCTGATCATTTTGAACAGAGAAAATAACTGAAAGAATAACCTTTTGGTTTTTCATAAATTTGTAGACACTGTATGTGCAAGATGCAATGATGTTTTAATGAAACACGTTCACACTTGTCAATAAAGGAACATTTGATGTTCAGGTTCAAAATGAGTAACATTACTGCAGAATGTGCGTGAGGAAGTGTGGAGATGTAGAAACAGGGCCATCTCTCCCAGTAACTATTGGAATTTCTGCGGCGGAATTGGTCCCCTTTTTTTTTTTTTTTTTTTTTTTTTTTTTTACAGCCGGGGGGTGCATGATGTTCAATACAATTATGGGTCTGGCTGCAATAATATTATTAATAGCCTACTATGAAAAGTCACATTCAACCTATGAGACCTGTCTATGGGTCAGATGCTCATTGGGGTAGACTGTAATGTTACTGCTCAACAGGTGAAATTCACAACGTGTCTCCAGCTTTTTTTGCATATTTTTGAATGACAAATCGTACCAGGGTACTTTGATATCAAAATGCGTGTCTGCCATGCAAAATGCACTCAGGTTGGAAGGTCTGGTGTTGTGCACACGTACCTGTAGCAGGGGGACTCTGGATGATATCAGAGAGTGTGTAGCCCCCTGAGCTGTCAGAGCGTCGTTTTTTTAGCCTTCAACTTAGCCTTTTTTAACAGGATTTCCCTGGGGGGCAATATTGTACAAGCATAAGAAGATACTTACTGTATGTACCATCCTTAAAGGAGATTACAAGAATGTGCAGACATCCTGGTGTTTAAGTTTTTCCTAACTTTAGGTTTATACATTAAGTAGTCACAAATACTTCTTCTGGTATGTACCCACATGAGGAGCAATTATGTGTTTTACAAACGTTAGGCTCTATAAGCAAGAAACTAAATGTCCTTTTAAATATCAAAGTAATTCATTAAGTGAATACCAAAAATACAAAACTCTGCTCAGCAACCCAATTAAAAAATGACCCTGGGAAGAGTTAATATGGAGTTGCTAAACAGTTGTGTTTGGATACCTGCAGGAGTGATCCAGTTCTGCTTCTGGTTTTGGGCTGAAGGCTGAATCCAAATCCTCATCCTCATACACACTGAGGTCTGGAGCACCAGGGTATGGAGTGATAACCCTCTTCTGCATGGCTGGGATCTGATATAGGAAACAAAAACAATTACTACATTGGGGGGTGGTCAGTCATCCCTGTGTCCCCCGACTCTTTGCATCACACATTACATAAGCAAAAGGCCACACCTCCTACAGTAGTAGTCCATCTGTTGTCTTTTTTCAAGAGACAACAGTATTGGAGTGAATTGATATTTTAGTGAAAAAGTAAAGCCACAAACAATAGCCGAACCCTGAAGTCATGAAAAAAAATGGTACAAACTGGGATGCGTTTTGGGCTGACTCACCATCTTCCTGTAGGCTGCAGAAAGCTCCAAGAGCACTTCATCACTAAGAATATCCAGAGCTCTTGGATGAACACACACAGATGAGAAAACATTAAGCTTCTCTTGTTAGAGCAAGTATTTGTCCCCTAATATACAGTACCTTACAATGTTACAATGAACAATTTTCAAGAATCATTTTAACACTATATTCAAATAGTTCCATTGTTGGACCTCTATAATATTACAAATAAACCATGTAAGGACTGATATAAAATGTTGAAATGCTCTAAAAACAGCTGTGTTAAAAGATTTTTCAAAATTCACAGTGGGTTCTTTATTCTGATTCTTACTTTAACTCCAGCATGGCAGCCATGTTGAGCACAATGAACTGCAGACAGGAGAGTTTCAGCTGCTCTGCACTGTACATGGTGGCAAACTCCAGCAGCTCGGCAGCATTCTTCAGGGTCACTAAGGAAGAAAAGCCAACAGTTTCATTTACAACTCAAGAGAATCGTTTAAGTGATGCAATTGTATCTGGTGACCTTTCAAATCCTCTAGATGAATGATTCTACATTCATCCCCATCACATGAGGAAGAGATAATGACACAGTCTTGAGGAACACCTCAAGGCTAATGTAGTAAACTTCTACATAAATAAATCTATCAACTTGTGGTCACTATCCTTACAATGAGAGAAGCATCACAAGCATGGCAATAGTCATTAGCGATGCCCCAGTGTTTCCCCTACATTAGTACAGGCATGGCGGGACACCATGCCAGTGAGACCCCCATCAACCCTACACAACAGGCCATTTTTTTGTAATATAATAGTCAAATATGCACTCAAGCAAGCACTCACACAAATATGCACTTATTTGGACATATTTGTGTTTGAGTCTTTGTCAGGTACCTCTCTGCTTCAATCTGATTCACTTCTGACAGCTCTGGTATAAAAAAAAAACCAAACAAACCCCAGAACACATGAAGAGTGTGACCCATGGTGTGACCTGAGAATACCACTTAATGGATTTCATATGTACACTGACGTTTGTCATCTTCACTGATTCTTCACACAGGCTTCTCCAAGTTACAGTAAGTTTGTGATATTTAAAGAGCCCACATCATGCTTTTGTGATTGACTTATCTACAACATTACAACAGTGAATTATCATCTTAGATGTGACCTAAAGCTCAAAAAATGATGTGTGCCTATGTTCTAGTACTTCTGTGCAGAAGCAACTCTGTTTATACAACACGACTTTTTTTTTTTTTTTTTTTAAACACAAAATAAAGTCTTAAGTGATAGTTTAAGGATTTCCTTGAAGGGTTATAATCTTGAGGCCGTTGCATGTTCATGTGAGCTTGCCTGGCATCCACCAGTGCCAATGTAAAGGTGGGATTTTGACTGCATGCAGTTTTGTGGATATATTTTACTGCCTGCTGCTGCACTGTGACCAGAGGATGTGTAGAAAAATAAAACTTGCCGTTTTACCTGACCGGGCCTAACCTACAACCAGCCGGCCAGCAAAGCCCCCACAGGGGTGAATGATCAGTTCATCAACATTGGATTCCCCAAAGCACAGTACTTGTTTGTTTTGACTGCCTTATGTGATGTGTTGCTGGTTGGCGAGAGGATTAATGATCCACGATGTTATTGTCAGAGTTACACTACCTGTTAGAATTAATTTCACTACTTTGGGACTCTATGTGGTCCTGTGGTGGAATATGCAGCGACCACCAGTTGGATTTACCGACCTTGGAGCTACTTGAAAGGGTGATGTTTCCACTACTGGGTGGGACTTAATGGTAAAAAAAAAACAAAAACATTTCATGTCTGTTAATGTGTTGTGTGTGTTCATGAACTATCCTCTCATTTTTAAGAGGAGGCTCTCTGGTTTTATCATTCTGAAATAATTACAGACTATTTGAAATTATGATCAGTAATCAGTGTTACAATAGTTTAATTTATCAGTATGGAATCATCACAGAGCAAATCTGCACTGTAATGAACTGTTGCACTGTTAGTAAAACAAGTTATTTGGGTGCTATTAATGCCAACGTGAGCACGGCACCACCTCAGAAGATCAAACCAGGGGATGCTCAGCCAAAAATGCATTTTTCTCTGAAATCCCAGAGACAAATGAAGATGAGGAAGAGAGGAGAGGTAGAGAAGTGGTAGAAGAGAGAGGTGAGAGGGGCAGGGGCAAGGGCTCCGGTGTTAGCATAAGCATCAGTAATGCAGGTATACAGGCTATCAGTCGAACCCAAGCTGCAGGTGAACCAGCAGATAGAAGCAAACATAGAACATCTGGCTGGGACCCAGAGCAGTGACCTCATAGATTGAAACAATTTTTTTTTTAATTTTAATGTGTTAGGGTTGCATTTTTGATATAATTGATTTGCTTTTAGATGAGCAATAATTATGAAAATAGCACAAGTTAGTTTGAAATTGCTGAGCAGTGCAAAATGCAGTCTGCACCAACCTGAGTTTATTATAATTTTATTGATACATTTCATTATGTGGATTGTCACTTTTTATTTTTCTTAAAGACAGTTTGTTCCAATGTCTTGTCAAGTAGCTGGAAGCTTTGACCGTTATCTGTGTGCAATAAATGCTATCTTAATAATACTCTCCTCGTTTTAAGTGACCTTTAGATACAAATTACCAACCAAAAGTATGGTGTTATGCAAGGAATAAGTTACTAAAAGTTTTAGTGTGTGCACACAAAACCTCTATCATCCTCTTGCCACCATGCCTGAAACACTGTCTAGGGGGAACACTGTGCCCCTTGCATTCTGAGCTTACTGCTCTGTTTAACTATGATTTTCCTTAACAGCTGATAATTGGTCAACCATGGGTCAGTCGTCATGTTGAAGCCAAGAAAATGACTCATTAAATCATCAAGTAAAATCTGAAGAAAACCCAGTGTTCTGAAAGTTTTACAATACTGTATATTAACATATTCATGATATGAGCAAAGAAAAAAGTTGGAGGGATATGACAAGTACAACATACAGTTCTCTGTGATGACAACCTCGCACATCTCCTTGAGTCGTGTGATGAGCAACTGGTCAGCCACAACCAATACGTTGCAAACAAACTCTACATTCAGAGACTCTGTCAGACAAAGGCAGAAAACACGAACCTTTCACTTTTCATGGGAATTTTATAAAACCAAAATCTTTAACCAGTACAACATTATTGAAACACCAAAGTGGGTTAACAAGATAACAGTTGTGAAGATACCTTTAATTGTGGGAGACTCATCTGTGTAAATATACTCGAGAATGACCTGCAGAATCTCTGAGCCAACAGGTATCTCCAGTGCAGTACAAGAAGTGGCCTGAGGGGGAGGAAGACAGACTTCTGAGTTTCATTGTGGTTAGGACTGTCAACTATTTTAGTATCAGTGACACACCGGTTAAAGAATAAAGCCCTTGTTTAAAAATAAAGACATGGCATACCTCAATCCAGGGGTTTCCAAGCATACTGTTGAAATATTCTGTAGAAAACATGTCCACAAAAATAAACACACTGCTACACATCAGCCATCAAATTTAAAGTTACACACATGGAAAAGCCCACCTAAATAACAGGCAAACAGGAATAAAATCATAGCCTCAATTTGGAGGAAAGAACAGTATTTAAGTAACGCTACTGGGTTATATTTTATAAGCATCTGTTCAGTACAGCACTTTATCTTTGGAAGCAAATAGCACAATCTGTAATCAGCTACATACACATTTGTGCAAAATAGTTTGCAGTGACAGAATGTATTCATATGAACGACTATAAACTACATGCATGTGGTTCTTTGTGTATGGTATGTTGACTGATCCATCTTACCTAGTCTTGCACAGAGGACACATTTGTGACAAGGAAACTCTTGCCCATCTTCAGATTTGAGTGTAACATCACAAAGATAAGAGCTGTACAGACACAATAAGGCAGAACCTTATCAGACATCAACATTTTCATATCAAATCCATTCTTTACAATCAGTTCTAACTGCTGCTTACCATTTCTTCTGGTAGAATTTGGGTTTGTTGCCAGTTTTCTTGTGTATAACACTGATCTTTCCATTTTCATACTTGACTCCGTCCAGCCTGTCAAGGAATAAAGACAGCATTATTAAAGAGGACTGGCACGAGATCTGATTTTGCCTCTGGGTTCAGAGCTCCCTCAGTCTCTCACCGTGCAGACAGGCCACCCAGGCCCAGCTTCTTTGCAACACCCTGTAATGTTTTTACAGGGTTGGCCTCTCCCTCATTGGCTCCAGCCTTGTCACCTTTGCTTCCTTTCCCCTTCTTGCCAGGCTTGGAGCTCTTGGGCTTGTTGCCATCTGCTTTGGTTTCAGGGGGAAGGGAGCAGTACGCCTCAAGGGCTGGGCAACCTCTCAGGCCCAAGTCCTGCAGGCTGCTGATAAGCTTGCCCTGCTCAGAGTCCTTGCCAAGGCAACAGACAGTGAGGCACACATCGTGAAATAACCAGAGCTGAGCCAGAAGTACAGTTCTGCATGTACACTGCAATTATTTGCATAGCCTGAAGCTACAGTATAGTATACAGTACTGACAGTTTATCAGAATTCTGTAGCTGAGTTTTAAAAGTCAATATCAGTGAATAAGGATTTTTCTTTTTCGCCCCCGTACCTGGTTTAGCCTTGTCAGGACCCCTGAGACTCTGGGACGAGATCTGTGTACCAGTAGCTCGCAGGAGTCTGTGTAGATGAAGTGCAGGGCTAATTCCAGCATATCTGCTGGGATTTTCTCCAAAACAAGTAAATCACAGCCCACGGCATCTTCGCTCTTCCTCACTTCCTTATCAAGGTCCTCATCGACTCCACGATGCTCAGACATGAACTGTTTGCGGAAAAACTCTGACCTCATGGACAAAATGTATTTATGAGCCGGGAAGGTGCGATCACCAGCCTGAAGAGTCACATCATGGATGCTGTCCATTTCATCTGCTTCATCCAGAAGACTCCGGAAGTGTTGTGAGAACAAGGATGGAGAAATGCTGGGAATCTCATACAAGCTGGATTAAAGACAGAGGGTGAACATCACTGCATCACAATACTCACTGATAATATCAAAAATGACCAACACATCATGAACACACCCCAACAAGTGTAAGACAATGGACCAATATTTATACGCATCAAAGGATGTCAACCTCAGAATAACTATATAGAAGGGTGCTCATGTTTACTTTGTTGTGTGTATTTATATGCTGAGAGCAACTGGTACAGGCAACAAAACCAAACAAACACCCCACTCATTAAGTTATGGCATTTCTAAACCTCTCCTGCCAAGCCACAGTGTGCACGGCAGATCTGTACTGCTCTCGAGTCACTGCAGTTGTGTTTCCACTGCAATGTAAACCACATTGTTCATCTTCCACATCTTGATCTCATGGGGGCAGCACGAGCCGCATGGAGCCCTTGGTACTAGGCTTTATTTTAACCCCTCATCAAATAACCAAGTGAGAGCCTCCATTTTCAAATCCAGCTGCAATGAATTAATGTGTATATGCAAGTGCAACATTTCAGCCAATCAAGAGTCTCAATGAGGCAGCTCTGTTAAAAGTGGAGCTCAGTCCCACTTGGCCCTGAGTAGAAGCCGGACTGGCTGGACCCAAGTCAGAACGACTGCCCCATGCAGTTATAAAATACTGAAAACAGGCCAACCTGTGCTCGGCCGGCTCTGCGCAATAGAAGCGAGCTGAAACTTGCTGCTGGAAAAAAATGCTATTAACAGGCGACTAGTTTGCATCCCTACCCTTTCTTTGGTTTTAATGAGCAGTCTTTCAGACTTATTTGAAATTTTTAAATAGAATATGACTGCCAAGATAAAAGTAGAGGACAACGTTGCACCAGTCTAATCTGTACTTCTTTGAAGTTGTCATCCCACAGAAACAAGATATTAATAAAACAGTGAGTCATTTGAGGCAAAATAAAAACTTCTTCCACAAAAAATAAACATTGCATTTTAAGCCTAATCCTCAGCATCCCATTAACATCAAGATGATGGTTCCTCATTTGTTTGAACAAATATGTTCCAGTCAGCTGGATGTTAATGAGATGCTTGCATAAAAAAGGCACTTGAATTTTAATATTTTTCAAAAACTGTTCAAGCACAATCGTTTACTTTGTGTGCACAAGTGAACTGAAATAGTTTTATTCAGAGAAGCAAGGTTCAGTAGTATTTCATACAGGCGTCAGTAATTCAGTCCACTGCCACACAGGCAATTTAGTTAGGTGCTCAACCTCAGTAATTAATGCACAATGTGCAACTATTACAGCAGTGTACGAGACAGTCTGCAAAGTGGCACTAATGCCTAGCCTAACAGGATTAACTGGTAAGCATTTAACTTGGACTGTAACTTATCATGTCACTTTATCATGGCCGTTCCGAAACATTCCCTTATTGAATCAAGTTTTAGACCATATGCTATATTTCTTCTGCCTCCTCCTAAGATGTTCGATAAGACTTTTCATTAGGAGAGGCCATTAGGTCTAGCTTGTGTATGCTGCCCCTCCCAGCTGCTGCACACACACAGCCTATGTTGATATGCTAAACTGTGACGTCAGTGTGCATGTGTGTATGTATTTATGGGTGTGTGGTAGGGGCCCCTTCATTTCACCTCATTTCTCAGTCAGCAGTATGCAGTGGTTACATTTTGTCAATACAAATGAACCATGTGAAATTTCAGCAGTGACACGAAATGTTTTACCAACATACAGTATAGTTAGCCACAAGAATACCAGCTACCCAGCAACAAGACAAAACACTAATAGGAAGAAAAAAAAAAGTTCCACAGACCATATTGGTAATGCTAATAGATGACCCTAATTATTATCAATAAAACAGAGTTTAACAAGGAGGATAATTAAGAAGAAGCATCCGTCATTAATTCAGTGCTGGTGAAAACCTCATTGTTGAAGTTTGGTTTTCATCCTTCTGTCTGTTTGCTTGTAAATCCCTTCATGATCCACTTATATCCTCCTGTTCAATTATCACTCAGGTCACGTGTCAGTCATAGTTTTAACACCCTGTTTACTCAGGATGTGTCTGAGCTGCTATTTCAGTCTTTCATGTTATGTCTGCCTGACAGAGCACATATGCTTAAATATTAATCAATGCAGGGGTCTAAACTGGCTACAAAACAGCTTGCACTTTACTCACGCTTCAAACATGAAGCCTGATCCCAGAGTGTATTTTTAAAGTTCAGGTCTATTTTCTTCAGACTTATGAACATAAACACGATCATGAGGAGTTTTTTTCTGTGCTTCTAAAGATCCTCCTACCTTGTTTTGGGGTCGGCCTGAAGCACTCCAAAATTTCGACCTTTAGAGTCCATTGTGATGCTGACAGCTCTATGGACATATGGGAGTTTCTCCAGGCGGATTCGCTCATACACTGCCCCAGTGTCCGAATGGCCACAAACCTCCACACTAACCCCTGTATGATGACAGAAAAGGATAAATCAAATAAAGTTAACTAATCAAAGTAACAAATCGGCTTTAACGGTGCCTCTATCGCTTATCCTCTTTGACTTGTTTAATTTTTGATTAATTTGTAACAAAGACTATTATGTCAGTCCTTTTGGAAACATTCTTTTGTTTTCAAAAGATGCTATACAAATGTTGAACTTCTGAGATTATATTAAGCATCAATTTAACACAAACACCAAACCGTGTCCTTCGAAATGTCAAACAAGTGTTGCAAAACAATGGAAAACAGACTCAGCATACCATATTCCTAAATTCCTCACCTTTCTTCTCACCATACTTCTTATATTCTCCAGCCCACACGCCACTGAAGCCTTCACCCTCCTGAGTCACAAACATCATGCTGTTCTTGCTGAGAGCTATGTCAGACATGAACACCTGACGCCCATACGCCCACCGGCACTGTCTCACCGAGCTGCCGGAAGAACGCCAGCAAAACACCTGACAGAGAGGGGAAAAATACAGGAGGCTGAAATTTTAGAAAAGTTTCCTAGACAAGTCTTAGTCATCGTTTTCATCTATAGAACCCCACACAGGCCTGATTCTGCATTGTATTAGATAGGGCTACCCCCTCAAAGTCAACTAGTCAAATTATTAGTCACAAGGCCTTCAGCCTCCTGAAGTTCGTCTTTGTCTTCTCCTTTTGATGTGTTTATCAACAGTTTGCTCAATACTTCCCACCTGTGGTTGGGGGGGGGAATACCCACATCAGCAAACCCATAATCACAACTGAGAAACTGTCTGATGCATTCATGTATTAAGGTCCAGCGACACTATTTAGCAAACTGCTGCCCAGAACGAGGAGAAAAGGACAACAAAACCCACTAGGGCAAGCCACATAAAGGTGAGATTTGTACTTTATTAGAAGTGTTTTCAAACATCATGGTCTACTTTTACAAGAGAAAAGACTAACAGACACAACGATGTGGCCAGTTTTAAATATGCATTATATTTGTATTACAAATAATAGTATTTGCCCATCTCCGTCAAAGTGTAACACAAAGCCATTCATCTTATGTTTTTATAGCATGCATCCATCCGAACAAGACTAGGAAGCTAACAAAAATACACTGGGAAAACATGACTATAAATCAGAGTAATCATAAATACCGGTATATATCCTTATATTCTTTAGCGGTGCAAGTTGGCATGCATCAAACATAATATGCGTTATGGTTAGCTGAGGAGAGAAGCTCCAACTTGTTAGTAATCTAGGCTATAACCATGTCTCAGAAGAAAAAAAATTGCCTATAAGAAATACAAGTGTGCTGTCTGTCTTGTTATTCCAACAAATCCATATGGCAGCCTGACATATATCGTCAATTTAAATCTTGCATCATATGCAGCTGTCTTTACTGATCTTTAAATGCTCAGAAATATGTTCCTTTCACTCTTCTGCATTTGATTACTGATGTTAATGTGGTTGAAATTATCAGTGCAATTCATACCAGTTGATTTTCTGACAGTCTGTGCTCTATATTTAAAAGAAAAAAACAAAACACAACAACAACAAAGAGTCCAGTAGTCACACTGAACAGCTGAATCCGAACAGACTAACAAAATTCTTAGGTGGGTACAAGCCTAGTATTACATAACTGTCCACACCAAAAGTTAGTTAACAATACAGAGTAGAGTATAGTGATGAAAATAACAATGGTATACATTCTCTCACTGTGCCAACATTTAGAAACTAAGACAAAAAGGTCAAACTATTACTAGATTTATTGTCCCATAATTAATTTAGACACTTACCCTTCCAGCCTCATCTAATGCCAAGATGGCCACCTTTTCCCCTACCCCCTCATTCAGGACCTGTGGATCCACACGGTGGTCCAGACTGCCGCCACTGACCAGAACCTTCTTGATGTTGAGCTGCCTAAACAGGATAAGTATAAAATATTAATATCACTGACAACGGATCGAAATCTAAAACACTTGGAGGATGCTCATTTACTGTCACTGCTGATTTCTTGACCATCTGAATACATGCAAACCCAAAGTTGCTACAAAATTAGCCCCTCTACACTTTCCAGCACACATATACAGTATTTACAGCACTACACTGTGCAAAGTACAGAAAAAGATAACTGTTTCAAGCTTAGTGGGTGATTTACTATCGACTGCCATTCAAACACAGCCTGGTCAGATTAGAATGCGAGAGGTGATTCAGGACGAGCAATGCCTCTGTCGTCTTGAAGAGTCTGCAAATATCACTCAGACTGAGGCGCATGGAAAACCTAAGAGATTACATCTTTGTGTGATATAAAATCTGCCCACTTTTCTGCTCAAAATCAACATAGTATGTGTGTTCCTTATAATCTGGTGTACAATTTAATCCTCAGTGTGTTATTATGATCCACTAAACGGGTTGATTTCTTTTTGCTGCTTAATAGAAATGTATGTAGCATTTTGATGTCCTAGTGTACAAGTCACTGTTACAAGTCTTCTCTTTACAGTTTTTGTATATTAAAAAAAAGTTTGATAAAAGACTAAATGAATCTTAAATGTTTGCATGCAGTGACCAGTGATTGAAAGCTTATTGTTTCGTTCACCTTGAAGCCATTTTCTTGCACTGATAGTCAGCCAACAAGTAGGCATCCCCCTTATCAGTCACAACTACTGTTGCTCCGTCGCTAGCTGCTGCCATAGCTATGGTAAGATCTTTGTGGTGCAGCGCTGATACCTGCCGGGGGTTTGTCACGCACTTCTCCCCATTAGGGTCCAGCAGGTAACCTGGAGATCAAATCACAAAATGTACTCTGAATTAATATATCAAGTTGCCCATACACAGTACTGTATGTGTTCAATACTGGCCTTTGACTTAAAAATAAATAGCCTTTGTCATCCACCTCTGACATGGAGGATTTGTCCTACTAAAGTAAAATGTTTGTATGACTTTACCATAGCAATAAGATAATTACACATGCTTGTATGCCAGAATTTTTTCTGTTTGCTTTTTATATTTCATACTCATTTGCTCAAATTTACCACAGCTGTGCAGTCACATCATGCATCTGGAAAAACTGTTCTGCTGTAACACTGGCTTTACTGATGTTTCAGTGCTGAGACTCACCCAACTGGCCTCCATTGAGTCCCATTGTATAGACAGCCTCCCTGGTCCACAGCACAGTGTGGAACCTTCCTGCTGCAACTCCAGTAACTGTCCTGCCCTTCAGCGTCTTGGAAAATACCTACATACACAAAATATTACATTAGAATTATACTTTATGTAGATAGACTGTGGTTCCCAAAGTAATAGTCATGTAAATCATTAAACTTGCATTCAACATAAGAGCTGATTAATGGTGGCTTTAGGCAACATCAGTTCATATTCCAAAATAAACAAATCACATTTACACTGCTTGCTGCAAACCGTCATTGTTCCCTTTTGCATTACTCTCCCTGCTACTTCCTACCTGCTTGGGGACAATAGCTGAGGCAGGAGGAGGCGTCAGACCTAACTGGTGGAAGGTGTTGAGGCCAAAAGTATAAACATAGCCTTCCTCCGTCAACACCACTGTGTGGTCTTTAGCTGCTGCCACCCGGGAGCAGTGGTGGGACATCAGGCCCTCGACCATCCGAGGAACCTGAGGAGGAGGAGGTAATGAGAGGAGAGGAGCTAAGATCAGAAAAACCAAACTGAGGACAGAAGATTTTAATATAATTTGCATGCTCAGTGCATACTAGTATCTCTTTTATCACCATTTGCCTGCAGTAATGAAATGCCACTGACACAGCTCTGCCATTTTCTGCTCTGACCCACTGACATTGGCTGTGTTAAGACAGTTTTACTGTTAATACAAGCTCAGTACTTTCTCAGTGTACTTCAGTTAATATGTTACCAGTTAAGCAATGTTTAAGGTCTATATCTGCTCATTAGCATAAGTGAGAAATTGTGCATGTACCATGTTAATTCAAGAAAAATGTTAAGATGCCACTGCCTGCTCCAGTGTAACTGTTGAGAGATTTTCCCATTTCCACACCGTCTACCCCAGCTGCTGGAAACACTTTAGATTTAAAGAGTGAATTCCAATTTCATTTTGAAATTTTTCATGTTTTACCACACACACAAATATATATACAGTGGGGCAAGAAAAAGTATGTGAACCTTTTGGAATTGCATGGTTTTCTGCATTAATTTGTCATAAAATGTGATCTGATCTTCTAAATCAAGAGTACTGACAACTATAATGTGCCTAATATAACAATATAACAAAAAAATATGATTTTTCATGTATTTATTGAACACACTAATTCAAAATGGTAGTGGAAAAAGTAAGTGAACCCCTGGAATTAATAACTGGTTGACTCAGCAACTCCAGGCTTTTAACCAGAGACAGATAAAAAGTGCATGTCCATTTTGAAATTTACGGCCTGCGTTTATGTGGTTGTGGTCAGGGAGGAGTAGAAATGTAAGCAAACAAAGCCCAATAAGTGTCTGTGCATACTGTAGAGGCTAATTCTTTTTCAGTTTGAACACGAATTAATCAATCATTCTCTTAAGTAAAACCTTCTACATATTGAACTTCTATACAAAAACAGAAGCTGAAGAAACAGATGACAAAAAAAAGGTTTTATACCTATTTTGCATTCCCTCCATCTAAAAACATTCAACACAAATGATATTTCTCAATTTTTATAAAATGGGTAATTTATTACTATTTATTCACCTTGCAGCTTTAAACACCTATCTACAATCTTCATCACACACAGCCCTCTATACCTGTAGCCTTCCTGACGTGGCTAGTTTGACTGTACATATAATTTTAATAAAGGTGTTCAAATATAGACTGATTTATAGTGTCAAAAAGGTTATAGCAAAATAATGCCCTATAACAAGTCTCACCAGGTAAGTCTGTTCATCTCCATGGCCAAGCCGTCCCCCTTGTCCATGCCCACAGGTGAACACCTGGCCTTTCTGAGACAGGAACACAGAGTGGAACTTGCACAGGACCACCTACAGGGAGAAACATCACAACTGAGTCACTTTTTGTTGTTGCTTTAAGTTTTAAAATACTGTTGTGGGAGGAAAAGAACCAAGTCTGAGGTCTTTGTTTTTATTTTTATACAACCAATGTTTTACCAGGGAAACCCACTGAGGTTTGTGTTGATTAAGGCTCTTATTATAATTTTGAACTGTGATGCAGCTCTTTCCATGTCCCTCAGCAAACCCTCTAGTAGTGATAATAAAATACTATGCCAATAAAGGCCAGGCCACAAGTGGAAAAGCAAACATTACTGCCAATACATTGCTCCCCTCAAGACATTAACAGCAGGCAGGGATGTTTCCCAAAAGTATCACATTACAAACATTCATGCACATGCATGCACACCAGTGTGGTTCATTTAATTAAAAGCATGTCATTGTACAATTAATATTTAACCTATGGTATCTGCTGGATTGGGCTAAGATGACAAAAGTTATGTCACGGGGTCTTTCTTATGTAAACAGCAATAATATAACAGAACTTTCAGTAGCTCAATCACACAAAGCAGCATTCAAAATCCACGTGTTAGGAACAGAGCCAAATGACAACAGATTCAAGGCCATCCTGCATTACTTAACCTACTACAGCTAGCACCAGGCCTGTTCACATTTCAGTGGGGGTTGTTGCACTGGTCCCAGCAGCTATATTATTAACACAAAGGGCATCCACATGACAAGAGCATGAAACTGTAGCCTGCCTAGCATGGTTTGACCATGCAGAGGCCAAGTCAAAAATCTCAAAAATTAAGATTAATTAAGAATACAACAAAGGTGCTCAGTCCATGCCTGACGCAACCACCATGCCCTCCATTTGACTCAGATAACATGACTGGTGGGTTCTTCCTTTTTTTTTTTAAACCTGATATTACAACCTTCCAAACCCAAAGTAAAAAAATGAACAATAGGTCTCACTCACCATTAATTCTTAAAAAATTTGTTCATAAAACCCACTTCTGAAGTTTTCACGAAGATACAGTACTGGCATTCACCAATGTTTTCTCTTCTGAGATTTGTTCTTGGGTAAGAAGAGAATCTACACACACTTGTGAACATTTGAGCAGTGAAGTTGTGTGTGAAATAACTTTAGTTTTCTTCAGTTCTATAATTATATAATATTGTAAGATTTAATTTACATTAACAGTTTTGTCATTATTAGTATTTCGTTAAGATTTTTCCACATTATTTTACAAAGCATTGTCTTTAAAACGAAAAACACTACACTAAAAATTACAGCAGGCATTTTTTTGTTTTCAAGGTTTTAAAATTTATTCAACTTTTACAGTGTGAATATTTGTAGCTTAGGAAACTACTTAAAAACCAAACACATTTAAGTGCATATCTTTATATCAAATATCTTTAAGTGTCTCTTTGATATTTTGGCCATGGATAGATGGACCAATAGAACAGCACCAGAGGACCGGACCAGCCTACAAGGGCACATTTGAAATTGTATAAAATCAACTGAATGGAGGAAGACAGTGTTCCTTCTCGTCCTGAAGACGAGTTGAACGGTTTTGCTGTTGAGGTCAGGGCTTCAGGTAGAGATGGAACCCAGAGCTCTGTAAATTGCTTTATTCGATGGTCTGTTTAGTTATGATAATAAATGTTTGAAAA